CCGCGATAGCTCGTCTATACAATGTTTATTTGTGTTTGTTAGCGTGCCATAGATGCTTTGATATTTGATTGTTTGTTTAAGCCACGTTTTATGACTTTAATTATGCGTGTCTTCTTGTTTTGAAAGCTACGGAGTTTAAAAAATACATCACAACTCAATAAAGGGTGCACCATGTAACTTTGTAAGATTTTATTGTTTTACTTAAAATGTTCTACAGTATTGAATTTCTCTTGTTGAGCTTGAATTTATTTAAATACATGGATTCTTACATCTTCACTACGACTTGGTATCATTCAGAAGTTGCCGATACGATACACACCTCGATACATAGGCCACGATTTGATACTTATCCTCCTGAGACCCGGCCCATTCATTTGTGTCCTTTATAGTGGACATTGAGTTAGTCAGTGTTTTGAGACAGATTCTTAATGGGGGAATAGTTTCCTCTGCCTAAATAGGGCTGGGGGATTATAGAGTACTATCATATCCAGGATAAAAAAAAATAAAGTCAATAGGAGTTAGTTTGTGGCTGCACTATTATTAAAAAATATAAAAAAATTAAAAGGGAGTCTAAAAACTTTTTGAGGCGACTGTACACCCAAATGTCCCCAGCGTCCATTACAGAGGACATGTTATAAAATTATAAATAAAAATAAAATGAACAAAATCTAAATGATAAGGTGTTCATTTACCTCCAAATAGATAGAAAATCACCAAATTTATATATATATATATATATATATATATATATATATATATATATATATATATAAAACAGTATTTTTTTGGATCCCAGGAGGATATCTCGATACAGTGAGTAAGTTTACAATTTGATACGATTCAATACGATATATTTCAAATTGATTCGATAGGGTTTAATAAAAAATATTAGCTAAATCATGGCTGTGATACTAAAAGTCTTTGTTAAACCACTTCTTGTGCAAAGTTCATATGAAACACAAACATTTTAATCATCAAAACAGTGAAAATGTCAAATATGTCACATAAACGAGTTTCCTTTCTCTAAACAAGCAACAAAACTGTAGCTCTGTAACAAAATAATTTAGTAAAATAAACCAAAAAATACTCTTGACTATATATCGATACAGCAGCCCACGATATCAATACTGTATCAGCACATTAAACGATACAATATATCAATACCCCCTCCTTGAACCGTCACCTTATCGTGGTGGAGGGGTTTGAGTGCCCGAATGATCCCGGGAGCTATGTTGTCGGGGGCTTCATGCCCCTGGTAGGGTCACCCAAGGCAAACAGGTCCGGGGGGACGGGTCAGACGAAGAACGGTTCAGAAGCCCCTATGATGAGTGTACGAGCAAGGCCAGTTACGTCGCCCGGATTGGCGTCACCGGGGCCTCACCCTGGAGCCAGGCCTGGGGTGGGTGCTCGCCAGCGAGCGCCTGGTGGCCGAGCCTCCCCCCACGGGGCTCGGCCGGGCTCAGCCCGAAGGAGCGACGTGGGGCCGTCCTCACGTGGGCCCACCACCCGCAGGAGGATCCATATGGGGCCGGTGCAGAGAGATCTGGGCAGCAGTCGACGGCGGGGGCCTCGGCGACCGGATCTCCGGACATGGAGACTAGCTCTGGGGACATGGAATGTCACCTCGCTGGGGGGTAAGGAGCCTGAGCTTGTGCGGGAGGTTGAGCGTTACCGACTAGATATAGTCGGCCTCACCTCCACGCACAGTTTGGGCTCTGGAACCCAACTCCTTGAGAGGGGCTGGACTCTCCATTTCTCTGGCGTTGGCCGCGGGGAGCGGCGGCGGGCTGGTGTGGGCCTGCTCATTGCCCCACAGCTCAGCCGCTGTGTGTTGGAGTTCACCCCGGTGAACGAGAGGGTCGCGTCCCTGCGCCTTCGGGTCGGGGACAGGTCTCTCACTGTGGTGTCGGCCTACGGGCCGAACAGCAGTGCTGAGTACCCGGCCTTCTTGGAGTCCTTGGGAGGGGTACTAGACAGTGCACCGACCGGGGACTCCGTTGTTCTCCTGGGGGACTTCAACGCCCACGTGGGCAACGACAGTGACACTTGGAGAGGGGTGATTGGGAGGAACGGCCTCCCCGATCTGAACCCGAGTGGTGTTTTGTTATTGGACTTCTGTGCTAGTCACAGTTTGTCCATAACAAACACCATGTTCGAGCACAAGGGTGTCCATAAGTGCACGTGGCACCAGGACACCCTAGGCCGGAGGTCGATGATCGACTTTGTCGTCGTGTCATCTGATCTCCGGCCGCGTGTCTTGGACACTCGGGTGAAGAGAGGGGCTGAGCTGTCAACTGATCACCACCTGGTCGTGAGTTGGGTTCGCTGGCGGAGGAGGAAGCCGGAAAGACCTGGCAGGCCCAAGCGTGTAGTGAGGGTCTGTTGGGAACGTCTGGCGGAGCCCTCTGTCAGAGGGACCTTCAACTCGCACCTCCGGGAGGACTTCTCCCGGATTCCGGGGGAGGCTGGAGATATGGAGTCCGAGTGGGCTTCATTCTCGGCCTCTATTGTCAATGCAGCTGCTCGGAGCTGTGGGCGTAAGGTCTGTGGTGCCTGTCGCGGCGGCAACCCCAGAACCCGGTGGTGGACACCGGAAGTAAGGGATGCTGTCAAGCTGAAGAAGGAGTCCTATCGGGCCTTGCTGGCTCGGGGGACTCCTGAGGCAGCTGACAGGTACCGGCGGGCCAAGCGTGCTGCAGCCCGTGTGGTCGCGGAGGCAAAAACTCGGAGCTGGGAGGAGTTCGGGGAGGCCATGGAGAAGGACTATCGGACGGCCTCAAAGAGATTCTGGCAAACCGTCCGGCGCCTCAGGAGGGGAAAGCAGTTCTTCACCAACACTGTTTACAGTGCGGGGGGAGAGCTGTTGACCTCGACTGGGGACGTTGTCCGGCGGTGGAAGGAATACTTTGAGGATCTCCTCAATCCCACCGTCACGTCCTCCGAGGAGGAGGCCGAGGCTGGGGACTCAGAGGCGGACTCATCCATCACCCTGGCCGAAGTCACTGAGGTGGTTGGCAAGCTCCTTGGTGGCAAGGCTCCGGGGTTGGATGAGATCCGTCCTGAGTACCTGAAGTCTCTGGATGTTGTGGGGCTGTCTTGGCTGACACGCCTCTTCAACATCGCGTGGCGGTCGGGGACAGTACCTCTGGACTGGCAAACCGGGGTGGTGGTCCCTCTGTATAAGAAGGGGGACCGGAGGGTGTGTTCCAACTATAGGGGGATCACACTCTTCAGCCTTCCCGGTAAGGTCTATGCCAGGGTACTGGAGAGGAGAATCCGGCCGATAGTCGAACCTCGGATTCAGGAGGAGCAGTGTGGTTTTCGTCCTGGCCGTGGAACACTGGACCAGCTCTACACTCTCCATAGGGTGCTCGAGGGTTCATGGGAGTTTGCCCAACCAGTCCACATGTGTTTTGTGGATCTGGAGAAGGCATTCGACCGTGTCCCTCGTGGCGTCCTGTGGGGGGTGCTCTGGGAGTATGGGGTCCGGGGCCCTTTGCTAAGGGCTGTCCGGTCCCTGTATGACCGGAGCAGGAGCTGTGTTCGCATTGCCGGCAGTAAGTCAGACCTGTTCCCGGTGCATGTTGGACTCCGCCAGGGCTGCCCTTTGTCACCGGTTCTGTTCATTGTATTTATGGACAGAATTTCTAGGCGCAGTCAGGGGCCGGAGGGGGTCCGGTTTGGGGACCACAGGATTTCATCTCTGCTGTTTGCGGACGATGTTGTCCTGTTGGCTTCATCGAACCAGGACCTGCAATGTGCACTGGGGCGGTTTGCAGCCGAGTGTGAAGCGGCTGGGATGAAGATCAGCTCTTCCAAGTCCGAGGCCATGGTTCTCGACCGGAAAAAGGTGGCTTGCCCTCTCCGGGTGGGTGGGGAGTCTTTGCCTCAAGTGGAGGAGTTCAAGTATCTCGGGGTCTTGTTCACGAGTGAGGGAAGGACGGAACGTGAGATTGACAGGCGGATCGGTGCAGCTTCGGCAGTGATGCGGTCGCTGTATCGGACCGTTGTGGTGAAGAGGGAGCTGAGTCGAAAGGCGAAGCTCTCGATTTACCGGTCAGTCTTCGTTCCTACTCTCACCTATGGTCATGAGCTCTGGGTAGTGACCGAAAGGACGAGATCGCGGATACAAGCGCTCGAAATGAGTTTCCTCCGCAGGGTGGCTGGGCGCTCCCTTAGAGATAGGGTGAGGAGCTCAGTCACACGGGAGGAGCTCGGAGTAGAGCCGCTGCTCCTCCACGTCGAGAGGAGCCAGTTGAGGTGGCTCGGGCATCTGTTCCGGATGCCTCCTGGGCGCCTCCCTCGGGAGGTGTTCCGGGCATGTCCCGCCGGGAGGAGGCCCCGGGGAAGACCCAGGACACGCTGGAGGGACTATGTCTCTCGGCTGGCCTGGGAACGCCTCGGGGTCCCCCGGAGGAGCTGGAGGACGTGTCTGGGGTGAAGGAAGTCTGGGAGTCCCTGCTTAGGCTGCTCCCCCCGCGACCCGGCCCCGGATAAGCGGACGAAAATGGATGAAATGGATGGATATATCAATATTTCAATATTTTTGCATGCCCTACTCTCCACAGATCAGACATGTAACTTGACTTGGAGACACTATATGTTTGTTTCTATGGTGACAGATAATAGCATAGCATTAAAGCTGTAGATAAACACATGAAGATCAAGTTACAAGTCAGAGCTGTGGAGAGGCAAGTCAGATTTTCATGGTATTTCTTTTAATTTAATGTCATACTATAACATACCATAACATCTCCCGAGCAGACTCCACCAGAAAAGTTAAATTTTACAGTTTTAATTCTATTGTTAAATGCCACGGGGGCTGGTAAAACTCTTATGATCAATATGCAAAATTTATGATGCATTGGACAGGTATGTTGGAACAGGGACAGTCTTTTTTTGTCTTTATGAAAATACCATTTGAGTGAGAGACTTCAGCACATATTGTAGAATCTTAAACCCAAGATGATTTAGCGCAAAAAATATGTACATTAACTTACCTGTACATGTGTCTTTTCTTCATTCTCACAGATTTTGAATGATGCCGGAGTTGCTGGCACAAGCAGAAATCCCACCTGCGATCATTTATACAGCTCCGCAGAGAGACGCCTGGAAAAAGGGGAAATGGAGGTGAATAATAGTGTCCAGTGGAGCTCTGGCAGCGAATGTAATGTTTCAGTTTTTACAGGTGATTTGTGCTGAACGTGTTCTGAAAGGATATTTTTCATGATACTCAACCTGAACTTGAATAGAAGGACATGAGTCTGTATTCTTATTAAAACCATGGCTTACAATCTGTGTGTATTTTTGATCCAGAGTGCCCAATCTGCACCCAGTATGCGAACAGAGATGGCAGAGTTGTTGTACACACTTTTGAACCCACACACAGAACTTCTTTCGGTCTACTATTAGGTAAATACTGCTCATTTTGGGGAAAAAAAGTAAATTTAAATGTGAATATTTTGTTATGTTGAAAATAAAATAGTTGTAGTGTTCAGGGATTGTTTATAGATACTAGAGGTGGGGACTTGCGAGTCAGACTTGAGTCACTATTTTTAAGACTTGAAACTTGGCTCGATAAAATGGACTAATACTTGGGAATTGACTTGGACTTGAAGGTAAGTAACTTGGGACTTGACTCGGATTTGAGGCCTGTGACTTGAGAAGACTTACCATAATACTTCTCCAAAAATATATATATGTTTCTAGAAAATACTTTTCACTTTTCAGTTGATAAATGCGGTGCTGAATTTTAAAGGAACAAACTGGAACATGTCTGTTCCACTTCTGTGTTTGTTACTATGGCAACAGTAACTGAAGTACTGTGATGTGGTATCATCAAAAGTACTATAGTAATATACAGTAAAACATGATCCTTCCATTTCAGTACAGACTACACGACAAAATAACTGTTATTAACAGGGCTGGGTATCATTAAGAAGTTGCCGATACGATACATATCTCGATACAGTGCACTTTCAATTCGATATGATATATTTCAAAACGATTCAATACAGTTCACTAAAAACGAATGGCTAAATCATGGCTGTAATTCTAAAAGTCTTTATTAAACCACTTCTTGTGCAAAGTTCATATTAAACACAAACATTTTAATCAACAAAACAGTGAAAATATCAAACGTGTTGCATAAACGAGTTTCCTTCCTTTAAACAAGCAACAATACTGTAGTGCTGTAACAAAATAATTTTGTAAAATATACCAAAAAAATACTCTTGGCTATATATCGACACAGCAGCCCACAATATTGATACTGTATTGTCACATTAAACAATATGATAAATCGAAATTTCAATATTTTTGCACACCCCTAGTTATTAAGTATTTTTAAATCTGAATTATTTCTGTTCTGACTGTAATTATTCACACTCCGATTTTATATAAATACTCATACATAAATATACCATGACTTTTAAATTACAATTTAGTTTAAAATTCATATAAATTACAAAAATCTAAGCTATATTTGGTAGTGTATCTTAAAGACTTGAAACCACTTGGACTTGACTTGAACTTATGGGGCCAGTGATTCGAGACTCGACTTGTACTTACCTGTATTTGACTTGGAACTTGACTCAGACTTGAGACTTACTTGAGACTTGCAAAACAACGACTTGGTCCCACCTCTGATAGATACACTGAAGGGTTTATCTTTCTAGTAAATAGACCTAAAATGGTTCTAAGTGGCCAGTGTGATAATAATAGAAACAAATAGAGCACTGTTGCTCTGTACAAATGCGTTTTCCTGCATACAGGCCTCACATATTAAACCGTCAGTCAGTGAATAAATCTCGCCCCTGCATAAGCATATCCTGTGCTGTCAGGTGACCCAATGCGCGTAAACTCACCGAGCGCTGTTTTTGATGCTTCCCGCTGAAAAAACCTCATCGTCGGTCACTGAAATAACTGGAGGCGTGCTGTGTCTGCCATATCCTCTTCCCTGGATTGTTTTGACTGCGTGATGGAGGGCAAACCTTCAGTATCTCACTGCTAATTTTAACCCGGAAAAGTCTCACTCGAAAACACCGTGATGATAGGAGGCAGCCGGGGTCATCGTGGCTTCCGCGCCTATGAATCAAGAGCAAAAAGGAAAAAAAAAAAGAATGCGCGCTACTTCAGAGGCTATTGTTTTGCGCACATGCGACGAGAAGTCCAGAGACATGACGCCGTGCACCTGCGAGCTGCGTGCGTCCATCTGAAAGGAGCGTCAGTCAAACATCGAAAGTGGAGCACACGGGACGCTTTATCTTTAAATTTTACGCACAGACAAAATATACACTTAAATATTAATATAGGCCTATTAAATGTGGGTGTTGTTTTCTATTAAAATAACACATCGAATACCTAAATATCAAGCTATTTTTCTGCTTTTAAATTGTTTCCCCATTCGATTTCATTTAGGATTCGCCGTTATTATATTTCTTTCTTTGTTCATTTTTTGTTATTATTTAGGGTCTAAGCTATATTTATGGTCTATTAGTTAAATTATTTTAGCATTGCGCTTTATTGCAGGTCAAACCCCTCCTGGAAATTGTAATTTATTGGCTACAGCGCTTCCTTTTATAAAACCGTATCCTTTCAACCGCATTTAATCTAATTTTTTCTCTGTTCTTCCTACCTTTTAAGTGCAGGTCACAAGATGGCATTGGCCGTGACCCGCAGTGAGAATCTTGAGGGGCCTTGCGGATGAAGTATCGCCTCTGATGTTAATTGTGTTTTCGTTTTCGCGGGGAATAGATTTCCTCTGTTTATTATGAGCATGGGGACGGATTTGCGTCACCGTGCAACTTGCAGGTCGAGATAAAGTTGCACAAATATTGAAAGAAGGAAGTGCTAACAGTCATTATAAAGTGTCCCCCCCTGCACCGGAAGAAATAAGGATTTCTGCTGTATCCTAAAATACTGGAACAGCTTCTATTTTAGGGGCACATCTAGCAGGCGTATCCGCTCATTTAACACGAATCACAGCCCATCAAAAACAGGATGAGACGGAGCTAATAGAAGCACTGATTGCATTTGAACGGCGCATAGACAATAATAGCCTATTATACGCCTTATATTAGCCTTGGCTCTTTCGTATGAAATTTAATCACACTGTTTGTTGTTTTAAATGGGCTTTTCCAATTACAAAATATGAATTATATTAGAGGTGTCACATTACGCACACGACAAATAATTTTCTGATGTAACTTATTTAAATGGAAGCCGGATAATTTTGTATAAATATAAAGCATTATTAATAATTAGTAATTCATTGTGCATTATGAATCTCCATAATTAAAAAATAGAGACGTTTTGTATCAATTTTCTTCTTGTAAGGGCGTTTTCTGCTTTGACAAATGTGTACGTAATTTGTGCGTAAAATGTAATTGTGCCATACGCTCAGTCATTGCTGCATTACTTCAAATGTATCCACTCATATTTTTTTTAATACCCATGCCTGCTTTCATTCACATTTGTCCGTTGCTATAAAGAGAAAAATCTTGAGAATGAAGTTGTGGGATCGTGCCACATTTTGCGGTCACAAGAGGGAGTGGCCTCTCGTTAAGTGATCAATCCATCATCTCGGGATCAAAATTGCTGCTCTCCCAGGTCATGTGTGTGTGTGCGCGAGTGCGAGGGTTACTTACACATCTTCATCTGAGAGGGCGTGATGTGAGCCTCGACGCGCCGCTGCCATTGGCTCAAAAAACGACCAATCAGTGTCAGAGACTGAACTTCATGCCGCGTCCGACCCAGAGCTTGGGATTTCAGAGTTGTGAGAGCAATATTGCACTTCCACTCAGAGGAACGACCAGCTGCGGGGTTTTAGCTATCTTTGCCTTTTCAACAAGCCGTCATATGTGTGTCTGAGTGCGGCTACGGGATGTACACAACCGGACTCAACCCCTTTTACGCATCGAACTTCAGCCTCTGGTCTGCGTACTGCGCGGGGGGCTTCGCTGTGGATACCATGAAGAAGCCGTCATTTTGCATTGCAGATATTTTACAAGCGGGAGACGGGGAGAACATCCCGAGTTCCTCCGCTCTCATGGTGCACATGGGGCACCACAGGACGCAGGGGCGCGCTGGCACACCTCCCCTGCGCCCCTCTCCAGTCGCTCCGGAGCCAGCTTTATACGCGGCCAGGTTGAGCCCCGCATCGCCCTACCACAGACACGGACTACAGCTAACTTCAGTGTCCCGGACCGCGTTCACCTCCCAGCAAGCACCGCCGCCTTCCAGTAAAGACCTCAAGTTTGGAATAGATCGGATACTTTCCACGGACTTTGATCCAAAAAGTAAAGAAAAGTCGTCATTAAGAGGTGAGGAGATCATTTTACGCATAATTGTCTTTTATCATTATTGCCTGTTTTATTTAAACTTTTAAACAAAACAACGTGCCTAATGCTTTATGCTCAAATTAAACTTTTGTAAACAATAAAAAAATCAATCTAGTGCTTCTGGTTTATGGACCTATTCACAGCAGAGAAGATACTAAATCTACTTTGAATGTGTACACAGCCAGAAAGTCACAAACCACAATGCCACTGAGCCCATTGCGCAATTTGTGCAAAGTGTGTATTTGCTGTCAGAAAGACATTACATGCAGGGAGTCCTCCAGGGCAATTCCATTTCCTTAGGCTACACAAGTCAAGTTCAGAGGTCACAGAACTAACAACAGCGTGGGCTTGTGAATATTTTCCTTAATTCTAATATTTTAACTAGTATTTTTAGAGTGTATGAAAGAAAAACATGTCTAAGCTATTTCCAGCACGGACCACAGTGTTGTGTTACATAGATCATAGATTTTTACTTTACTTTTCTAATACTTAAACCAAAAGTTTATAAGTAAGTTGCATGTTATGTCCATACCTTTCACCCATTACAAACAACTGCATATTTCTGGCTCTATGACAGATCTTACCTCCATCGTAAGCTCAAACCGTCAGTCAGGGCTCCACCATGTTGCGGTCCAGCCTGCGTCCGGCCAGTACTACTCTTCCATAGACCCGGCGATGAGCGAAGCAGCCTCCATGATGGGCGCACTAGGCAGCAGCAGCAGGCAAACAGGCCAGCATCAGTTTCAAGACAGCTTTCCAGGTGGTTACCACAGACATCCCACAAGCACAAGTGGAAAGAGTGTTCAACTATCACTAAAAATGATGTAACTGTTATTAAAAAAAAAGGACATAAGAAATTAAATCTTCAACTCAAAACCAAAGTTGTCTGTTGCAACAATTAGAATTTCCTTTCCTTCCTTTCACCTGTGCCAGACTAAACATTGAAAACAAATGAAATAAATCTTGGATCAAGTCTTTCTAAAATCATTTGTCTTAAAATCATAATCTTAACAATAGTTCCACCTCTGTTGAATTGCTGTTTTCAGATTCCCGAAATTGATTATCGGATTGGGGCCTGAGCTCTTGTATTATTTACTTGATTTGACATGATTTGTTTACTGTTAAATTCACTTCTATAATAATTAGCCATAATATCTGCCACCATCTTTAAACAAAACAGAAACTGCTGTAATGTGAGGGTGTTATTTTGTCGTCTTTACCTGTATGTTTATATTTACTGTCCTAGGCCCCTATGCTGTCCTCACCAAAGACACAATGCCCCAAACCTACAAGAGGAAGAGGTCATGGTCCAGGGCGGTGTTCTCCAACCTGCAGCGAAAAGGCCTGGAAAAGAGATTTGAAATTCAGAAATATGTCACCAAACCGGACAGGAAGCAGCTGGCCGCCATGTTGGGTCTCACAGACGCACAGGTGAGGAGTGACTGCACAGGCCTTTTATAACTTTAATGACATATTATTTATCGTTCTCTTTACAATTATTATATTATATTAGAGCTCCATCATTATAAAGACCTTTTATACAGTTATACCATAATAATTGTCACGTTTACTCACATGTAAACTGGCTTGGTTTTGTTTGTATTGTAATTCACATATTGCTGCTGGCCGCTGGTGTGTTCATCTTTAATACTATGACCATGTTTTACTTCCTAAAAAGTAGCAACATTTAAAAAAAATCCTATTTATTTTTTTTATTTCACGTAACTGCATTGCATTATTATAACTACGTCAACTTTCTATTATTTTTAACTATGTTGAAGTATATTTATTCGGTTTTATCACTGGACTCTTGTGTTTTATAAATGTAGATACTGATACGAATCAAGAGTGTAATGAATTATTTAGGCCTATACAAGATTTTTCTCAGCTATTGTCATCTAGGGCTAATGGCTCACAGATTAACTACAGTTTTATTCTAATTACAAAAAAGATATATGTAACTCTTGACTTAATAAAAGAAAAATGTTAGTAATTTTAGGGGGGAAGGATCAGCGTAATGATAGTTTGATTCAGTAATTGTCTAATAACAGAAAAATTCACCAAATTACATACTGACTACAAACTTAAATTGCCTGTCCATTCAACCGGGTTCCTTTTTTCATTTAATGCAAATGCCACATAATTGTGTAAGTGAACCAAAGTCTTTCCTTTCCACTCAAACAGAACTTTTTTTATTTTCAACAATAAACAAAAATCACTTACCAACTAAGACCAAAGCATGAGCCTATCATTAAGGTTGTGGTCCATGTTTTTAGGCCTTAAATACAGGGCATGCCTATGGTGTATGGTGTATTTACCTATATGGATTACCTAGTAGGCCAAATATGAGGCAGTCTAAAGTGTGCTTTTCTGAAGAGCTCAAGTTCTCCTTTCCATGACAAGGGAAGTGCATGATTTCAATATATTTCAGCTTAACCTATTATTAGGCCAATAGGTTTCTAAACCTGACTAAGACTGCCTCGTTAAAATTTCACAAGAATAGGTTCAAAACGTCTTTACTCTTTCTATGTGCAGATTTTACCCCAGGATTTGGCTTTATGTTTTTTGCAGGTGAAGGTCTGGTTCCAGAACAGGCGCATGAAGTGGCGACACTCCAAAGAGGCGCAGGCCCAGAAGGAGAAGGATCCAGCGGGGGACAAGACTCTGCCCGAGGCCCCGGAGAGCAAAGACCCGATCGAGTCCGACTGCGACAGCGAGCCCCGGACCGACTGCGAGTCCGACGACCCCGCGGAGGCAGACGAGGACGACGCGGCGCATTTGGACGTTTCTTCGGTTCTGAACAATCAAACCAGCGTGATTATGAGCGGCACATGCGCACCGAGCAGTCCGCCCGGGAGCGAGGAGGGGCCGGCCACTACCCCCACGGACACAGCGGCCTCCCAGGTGCTCCTATGAAAGCCAATGTCAGCACGGGTTTAACTCACGAACTATGGCGTATAAAAGTGTTAAATAAGTCAGGCATGGCTTTCTAAAACGACGGACTCTGGACTGTGGCAGGTATGGTTAGCGAGGCCCGTGGAGGCGCAAATAAATAAGATTAAAACCGAAATGTTAGTTCATTTGACACAGCTAACTTCCGCCACTAAACAAACATGCGGTGCCACGTGTTGTCGTTTTATTAGCAGTTTTCGTGCCTTGATGTTTTTTTTTCCTCAAGTGAAGACAAAACTGCGGTTGTGAATTTTATTTTCAGGTTATGAACCACTTGTTTCACGTTACAAAATCTCAGAACATCAGATGGTGTTTAAATATTTTGTCTGAATATATTTGTGCTATTTTGTTATTGATAATTTGCACTGAAAACTATGTAAATAAAACGTTTCCTATGTAAGAAAAATGTCAAAAGTGTACGATGTATTCAATAATTCAACAATTCAGTAAAACTTATACATTACTTATACAAACTGATATTAATAACACAATATAATAGTGTTTCTATTGTTGGATACAGTTTTGTTATTAATATTTTAAGCCCACTATTTTGCATCTTATTGTGTAAATTCATTAGGGATACCTAAAAAAATCATTTATTTGTGTGATTACCACTTTCAACTTGATATATTACAACAAAAATCATCATAAACTACTATAAAAACACTACCTTTCCCCATCTATATAAATGTTACAAGGCAATATAAAGTAATATTGTAATGTAAAATCCAGCAATATTGCATAGAGTGATTATGTTTTAGTTTATTTCTTGTAGTATAATTAAACACCACCTTCTAGGATTTAATAAAGCTGAAGTATATTTCTTTTTGCCTATTTACTCTTTAGTTCGTTTGTAGTTACGAGACTTATGAGAGCAGGTATTTAAACATATATATTTTTCACACACTTTTCACACATGTACTTCAGCATTTGTCTTCCTCAACAGCTGAATTGTTTAACCTGACCAATTATGTTAAAAGGTTTTACCACACAGCATGCTTTAGGTGCCTTTAAGCACATAATGTTTTTCTGTTTCTGAAATTTCTCTCTTGCAGCTTTGGATGAAGTGAATGGAGATTTTATAGCTTGTGTACATTATCTGGCTCCAGCAGCGGCAGCAGCAGCAGCAGCAGCAGCAGCAGGAGTGTCCAAGATGGGTATGTTTTATGTGTGCAGACCGAGATACAATCAACAAGTAAGTGACCCATTCGCAGAGCGGTTTGACTACTTCTGCTTTCAGGACACTACAGGCTGATGAGACCCATGTGCTTTATATTGCAGGCAGCCCTCAAGACCGATCATGATAATCACAGTGACTAATGCAAGAGGACAGACTAGTGCTGAAGTGCAGTTTCTCAATAACCGTTATCTTGATGACCAGTGGTGAGTTTGTACAGTTTATAAAACGGAGTCACTCAAATGCAATTATTAGAGCTGCCTAGTCATATTAGATCGTAGGCTACAACAAGTCACTACTATAACTATTCAAAATTCCATTACGCCCCATAGCAGGTCACAAGTAGGTTAAGTTTCACAAAGATACGTAGCCAAAATAAAACAAGGTCAGGTTGGAAGTCGGTACCCACATTGCGATGCTGTTGAGGGACCAATTTAATAACTTTTCATGATGTGTATGATTCAAAATATAGGCTATAAATAAGTAGAATATTCCAAAAATGTGTTCACTCTGCTTCTCTCATGACCTTATGTTCAGAATCGCTGTCCTATGAATAGTATGTAGAAATAATTTGTTGATATTGAATTTTAATCTACATTGACATTCATTGATACTTTCTAATCGTTGGTGATCAGATCGTGTCTTTTTAATCCGCGGGTCCACAGCCAGTCTTCTGTCAGGATGCAGATGTGGTCTGGCGTTAAAACAGGACAAAGAAATGTATTTCTCTTTCTGGCAGTGATTAAATGTCTGTATTGTTTAGGTTTGTGAAATTAATATTGAAAGGCGTTTTTATAATACAATGCAATCAAAAGCTGGATACGTCAATATCAGGGAAAAAAAGTTACGTTTTTGTCACGTCGCCAGCCCTATGTTGCTCAATCCTCCACCCACTAAGAGAATCTTGGCTACCTATTTGATGAAAATCTCATAAAGCCAATCTGTGTTTATATAATTCATGATATTCATCTGTATTTATTATCATTGAAACTTCATTTAACTTCAGATGTAAAAAACGGCAACAGTAAGTACGAAATGTAGTTTAAAAGGTAATTCACAAATAATTATACATAATTACCACATTATTTTCACATTATTATTAAACATACATTATGTTCTCAAATATTACTGTACTTTTTGAACTTAGATATTTATTTTTTGAATTAAATCTAAACATTTGCCTTACATACAGTGTATTTGTCATGCATATTAACAGATACTGGACAGAAAACTCAACTACTAACCTACGCAGGGCCGTAACAAACAGGCACTGTCCGACCAAACCAATCAAATATCAGAAAAAACAAGCAAACCTGTCACGTGCACTTTGCAAATTGTAAAGGGGATACTAAAAATTGTAGGAAATACTGAGCAAAACGAGTGATAAATGTAACTAACTCAACATTGTTCATATAGCACCATGTAACATCATTCTGTCTTATAAAACCCACCTTGAATGTAAGTATTTTCCATCCGGCCGTACAGCTGAGGGGCTTAAACTTAGTGCCTGTGTAAGATAAGAAGGTGAGTGTGTACATATTTGGGAGGTCCTGTGTCTCCTGCACAGTATTAAACTTGATATTTGCGTGTTTACTTGTCACTAAGTGTTTTATACTCGGCGAACAGTGAACATGCCCGGGCTATTAAGAGGTTTGTTGATGGAAAAATGAGCCTGATGGAACTTTAAGGAGAAAACTATCTCTGCTGCAGCTCACACTCAAGTTTATAGAGGTCAGCAGTAAATAAACAGCTTCTAATGCTAACATATTCTTCTGTATTATATTTGCTACTACGGTTAACTATTAGGTGTTTTGTTTCAGGCGTTTTTATCATTTTTATCCAGATCAAATTTCTTACAGTTTAATATTTTTAAACAATGATATTTATAGTGCAGTTAGTGCATTTTAGTGCCATTATTTTATGTAATTGTAAAGAAATACAACAGCAATAACAAAAAGAAAACTTAATGACATTAAAACAATACATGCATAGAGTTTTTTATTAGAGTTGTGGGGCAAGCAAAACAAAAACTGTTAATTCATTGTTAATACATTTTAATACAGTATATATATTTGTGTATTATCTTCTTTCTCTTATAAAAAAAAAACAAAAACACCACTGACGTATTTCACTCTGTATCCGAAAACTATTAAAAAAAAAAAAAAAATCGCCTGCAAATTCCCGAAAACCGCTTATACGACAAAAACATTTTTCATGTAAAAAAAAGAATACTCACACCAGTTCCCATCTTGTTTACATCTTCTTTAACTTACGTACTTCCTCAGTAGCAGTATAGCAAAGTAGATTGTTTTACAGTATCTGGTACAGTAGAGCATTGAAACCCCTATGGTGGTTGTTGTCATGTTCGCAGCTTCATTATAACGAATGACCCAGGCCGGGACCACCTAAAGTCCTCCATAATGGGGTTTTCTTTCCTGCCTCGCTCCGGAAAGAGGACGGACCCCCAGAGAGCTGCCGTTTTTCCGTTTTACCCCACCATCTTGAATTTCACTTTTCGTTTTCTCTATACAGACTGCTGTTGGCTCGGGCTCACTGTTTTCCATAGAGGAGATAGTTTAGCCCGTAATATAACACAACTCCTCCACTCAGCCCCTCGTAAATTGGCTGCTTTGTGATGGTAATGAGCTGAAGTGAAACTCTTACTATAGTAATTTAAAAAGTATGTTTTCTCATAGAATTATGTATGCGCTTAGTTTTTACTTGTTAGTAACAGGATTAAAGTGGGAGCAATTCTAAGAACATTAGTCGTAATAAGAATCGTTTGGGAATTTTCAGTCCAATGAAATCAGAAACCAATGCAGATTTTAAGACGCTAAACACTTCACTATAGTATTCGTCAGTCTAAGAAAAGTATTTCCCAATAGTTACTCAGCAGTTTATGATGTTGTTCCACTGTGCTTTTGTTTACTTATTTTTATTTTTGCTTTGGTTAATGCATCTCTACAAACATTTTGCACGCTTTTGCACACAAACACGCCTGAATTTTGCCAATACTTTTTAGATTAGATTAGATTTTTGCATTTATTTTGGACAAGTAAGCAATTCAAATTCTTTTACAATGGAAAATATAACATTAATGAAATCACAGCAGAAATAATAACAACAAAAACATAAAAAACTGGCCCAAAAAGGAGTGGGAAGAAGAAAACGTATTTAATCCCACCTCCCTCTTCTTCTAGTTTAACACAAAGAGCTTTCTTAAGAATTTTTCAGACATTTTACATTAAACTATGTGAACTATTTGCAAGTGCGGACAAAGAGTCACTGTTTTAGTTTGGTAACATAACTGAATTGCAATAATACATAAGGATACCGACAATAGTAAGGAAAATTTAAAGAGACCAACAGTGGTATTTTTAAATTACACTTGTGTTTATCTTACTTATAATTGCTAATAATTATAGCAAGAGGCCAGCTGTAGTAATAATAGAAGTAGTAGTTCTAATAGTAGCAGTGGATAATGAAACCTTTTGTAATAGTTTAGTATTAAAAAGCTGTAAGACCAGTTTTAGTAGTACCACAGCTCATGTCGTGTAGAACTCAATACTATTCTACGTATTTTAACTGTGTACTTCTATTCGCAGTCATAAGTAAAGAGAGGAGCCTTTGCACTTTGTTGAAATAGTCTAGTGTCTTGTGTGTTTACTTCAGTAGTGATTTTCCTTACTTATTAGTACTTCTAGTTACTCGCCGTTTTGCAATTAATGTTTTTTCACCCATAAATACTTTTTCCAATTCTGCGTATGGACTTGATAGCCCTTTTAATTCACAGATGACAGCGGTTACAGCAGTGAGTTTCCATTGACCGCAGTAAAAAGCGTTGAGTACTTCATCAAGCTAATATTAACTTACATTTAAAAACGTCTGGGGTGGGTCCAGACTCGAATTATGCCCGAAAAGCTATAAATTACTTTAGTATTTGCAAATGTAAAATAACAATAACAATCTAGACGCTTACCATAATACTGAGAGGCCCTGATTTGTGGTGCGTCTTAAGAACTTTTATGAGCGGGATCGGAGAAAGTCCATCTGGGCAGTATTTAATGTCAACTTTCCCCCCTCTGTGTTAAAAGCTCATCTGAAAGTCACACTTATCAACATGGGACAGGCGCAGAGGTGCAAAGTAACTACGTACATTGTATTTCACTTAAAGAGGTTAAACATGTAGGACAATATATACTCGGTTAAACTAATTATAATAAAATAATTCTAGTAA